TCACTTATGGAGATTGTTTAAGAAATATTGTAATTGGGGAGGGAATTATAGGGTAAAGATTATGCAAAGAAAATGAAGGAAAGGGAAAGTCATAGGTGGAAACCATTGCAAAGGAAATTGGTGTGTCCCTTGAGTTCCAGGGAATGTGTGCAAGTCTCAAATCATGGTTGCATTTCAGTCTTTTTTTTAATAGATGATGAGGTACTTCATAAAGTCATTCTCTATTTTTGGGTCATTTCTGTTCACCATTCAAAGAACTCTCTTGAATCACTGTAGCGCCTCCTCACACCCCCATTCCCGCTCTATCCCTGGTGTGACCACTTTCTGAAAGCGGAGAATTTGGGTGTGAGTCATGCAACACGGAAGGGCGGTGAGGCGTAATGAGTCCATGCCACGCCCTCTCTGAGGCGTGAGATCGCAGCGTTCACAGTGGCTAAGAGTACTCATAATTAAGCATAAGGTTAGGAGTTTCTTATTTGATCCTGAACCCAAGTTAGAAATACAGAGTCTTAGAATGTGACTCTATATTTCTGGATGTGGCGAAGAGGGGTAAATGATCGTTGGGCACTCAGCAATGAAGAAAGTTGGGACTAAACACAACATTTGTTTAGAATGTTGTTTACTAAAAAACAAACCAACATAGTTCTGTTAGAAATCATGAACTGCTTTCAACCTTACAGATATTTATTATTTTCAGTTGGAGTTTCAGGTAAAAGATTTAGGGCAGGCGTGCTGTAACCAACCGATTGCAGTGCTTGAGTTTTTCCTCACGTGTTTTATCGTCAGTGTCGTGTCATCTGTGTCCACGACACAGTGTTTGTGTTTATTAAGATACATTTGCAGTTGAGACAGAGTTAAAATGATTTCTGAGAAGATTTTAAAAAGTCTTCACACACACATATGAAGAAAACATCCTTTGTCTTAATATACTTTAAAAGGAAAGTATGTATGTATGTGAAAGCGATGGGACCGCACTTCCTGAGCTTGAAATAGTTTTCCAGATTTCCATGGCAAATTCTGATTTATACGGCTTGAACATTTCTCGTTTTTCCTTTTTCTCATTTCACAAACTTTGCCAGTCCCTAAAGGTCCACCTGGCAGTGCACTGTGCTGATCGGCAAAGTTGGCCTTTCCTGTGCTTCTCTTAGAGCGGCCCATCCAGAAACACTGACCTTTTGGTTTAATAACAGTTTTGAGAAAATGTTCATTTCCTGAGAGCTGAAGAGTGTTTTGAGAAAGGCCATTTTAAATAGTGGTCTCCCAAAGGTATATCTTTTTCCCTTCTGTACTTTGGATTAGACCTACCAGAAGAAATATATTGTTGCTTTCTGTATTCTATTGATTTAAAAACAAATAACAAGAAACTTAGATTTGCTCAAAACTCATTACTAGGGTGGTTTATTTTCCTGCCTGGGCTTAGAGTTGCTCTTTTAGATTTTAAACTCTGTATGCTCAGTCATGTTTTCTATTTTGTTGTTTTAAATTCTTGATTGTAGCTAAAGTAATTACTTTTTCAGCTTTGACTTTGGGAGTGAGACGAGAGAGAGAGAGAGAGAGAGAGAGAGAGAGAGAGAGAGAGAGAGAGAGAGAGATTGAGTCCCAGAAATAGCCAGGGCCTTAGAAAGACAGCCGTGCTCTGGGCCCTGTTCTGCCCCAGGGCGCTGTCAACCAGCTGATCTTGTGGGCACGCCCTCTGTGGTGGCCCTGGGGGTCTCCTGCCTGCCCTTTGCTTTCCTGCTTGTTTTCCTCATGCCCTCTCTCCCCTCGGGGCCTAAACAGTTGCCTCCGCCCTGTTTCTCACCTCAGCCCACAGCAGGTGGTAGGGCCCACTACAGTTGGCAGGAGGGTTTAGAGAAGGCAGACAAGCCCCAAAGCTGCATTTCCTTCTCCGCAGTATCTTTGCGTGGCTTCCTTTCCAGCCACCCAGCTGGCCATCCTTGGTAATGGAGCCCTAATTGGTCCATCCCAGATTGATCACATCATAATAAAAAGCCCACCGCTGATTATGGCTCTTGCCCTGGTAGGAAGCCCCTGTGTAAGGGGCACAAAGTGTACTGTGAAGACACAAGGCTGTTGGAGCAGCTCACTTAGAAGACTGATCTCACTGCTTCATACTTAGACCTGGTCTACTGGTATCTTTAAGAAGCCTAGTTTTAATGGACCGAATGGAATTCACTGGAATTATGATTGAGAATTTGATTGAATTTTGCCTGACAAACTTGCAGCTCTCCAGCGGAAGTGGCGTGATTTTACAGATGCAGTTTGACGGACTGTGTGTTGATCCTGACTGGGAAGTTGAGCTTCAGAGTATAGTTTGATCACATAATACTAGATGGTTAAAAATTGTTTTGTTTTTTTGCTACTATAGAGCTAGCAGCTGTGAACATCTCCAAAAAATGGAGTGTTATGTTGTTTTCCTTGTTTGTGAGAAATAGATGAAAAAGTGAAAATCATTACCCAGTGGGACGTATAGTCTAGAACTTCATAGCCAGCAAACACCCATGTAACCCACCTGGTTCTGCTTTTGAATGAGGAAATCAAAACTCAGGTAGGTTAACTGATTGATTCAAAGTCTAGCTAATAGAAAAACAAAGAGTATTCAGACTCTGCTAGGCTGCTACTATTTCTTGGTTAATTGTATTGCCTTAAAACCTTTAACATTGAAAAATTAAGATTTTCCTGAATGCAAACGAAATTCCCTGTTCCAGTTTTTCTTTTTGATTTTGTGTGACCTTTTCAAAGCAGGGCTGTGTATCTCTTACCCTGTGTGCTGTGAAGTACAAGAGAAGCCGAACAGGTTGAAGGGAACCAACAACCTTTTGAGAAAACTGCTGCCCAGTTAGTAACTTCCTCAGGGTCCCCCAGATTGTTGATGGTCATGCTGGGATTAGACCTCAGCTGGTGTTCCCTGTGTTCCTTTGTTTGATTCTTTGTCCACTGTTTGTAGCAGGTTAATTGAGATACATTTAACATATAAAATTTACCAAGAAAAGTATACCGTTTAGTGGTTTTAGTATATTTACAGAGTTGTGAGATGGTTATCTTGCTATCTAATTTTAGAATATTTCAACACCCCGAAAAGAAATTCTTTATGTGTTCGATGTCACTGTCTCTTCTCACCTTCTTCCCTGTCCTGGCAACCTATCTAATCTACTTTCTGAGTCTATTGACTTGCCTTTCTAGACATTTCATATCAGTGGAAGCATACAATGTATGATCTTTTGTGTCTGGTTTCTTTCACTTAGCATGGTGTTTCCAAGGTTCGTTCATGTGGTCGCATCTGTCAGTACTTTATGGCTGAATAATATCACATTGAATGGTGGGTGGTACTACATACTGTTTATCCATTCATCAGTTGATGGGCATTTAGGTTATCTTCCCATTTCAGATGTTATACATACTATCATAATATTCATGTACAGGTTTTTGTGTTTTCAGGTGTCTCAGGTATGTACATTACCTAAGAGTGAAATTGCTAGGCCTTATGGTCCCTTTGCTTTAGCATTTGGCGGCCCGTCTACCTCTTTTCTGAAGTGGTTGCGTCATGTTAAAATTTCACCAGCAATGTGTGAAGGTTCCAATTCCTCCACATTCTAACACTCGTTATTGTCTTTCTGATTTTAGTGGGTCCAAATTGATGTAACATTTCAGTTTTAAATTGCATTTCCCTAATGATGAATGCTGTTGAGCAATTTCTCATGTGCTTATTGGCCATTTGTAACACTTCTTTAGAGCAATGCCTATTCATATACTTTGCCCATTTTAAATTGTCTTCTTATTGTTCTGTTGTAAAAGGTCTTTGTGTTTTCTGGATGCAAGTTACTTGTCACCTACATGATTTCCCAATATTTTCTCCCATTCTTGTGGGTTATCTTTTCACCTTCTTGATGATGTCCTTTGATGATGTTGTTGTTTTTTGATAGTCTAAAAGTAAGAGAAAACATCCTTATGACCTTTCCTGTGTCTTCTTTGTTTGTTATTGCACAATATCAGCAAAATTTTAAAAAGGCTGTTGTATGTCCTGTTGTAATTCAGTTTTTGTCTGTACCCTGAGGCAAGGCACTTATAATGCCCAGATCACCAAATAGAGTATTATTGCAGAGCAGAGACAGTGTGGTTATTTTTCCATCTAAAAGGCTCATCCATTTGAAATAGTAGGTCCTGTGTGTATTCCGAGATTCTCCTCTGTTTCTGGTGCTTTCTTGGTCATAATTTTGGGTAGTGTGTTTTAGTGAAGAGGAAGTTGTGTCTGCTTATTTTTTGTGGAAGGTCCTTAAGGAGTATGTAACATTTGTCTGTTTTGTTTGCTATCATAGCTGTAAGAATCTTTACAAAACACAGAGTACAGAATTTTCTAATTGGAAAGACCAGATGTTTCAAATCCAGTCACCAGGTATTTAAAAAGCTCCAGCCGAGTTCTCAGCACTGTTCTGAGTCTCTCTCCTGTTGGCATTTGAATTTGAATGACATATATTCTAAAAACTAGGCTTAAAATTTTCATAAATGCCTTTTTTCATAAACCATGGAAAAATGAATGTAAATAAATCATTTTTCTTTCTGTAATAAATTATTTTTAAAATATTTAATTATTGCAAGTGCCAATGGCTTTGGTGCCATTTTCCTCTCCAAAGGCCCTTCCTTATGTCATCTCTTCCCTTTACATGCGATTATCAGACTTTAATGATAGGACATCATTTTAAAGAATTTGTACTTAATGGCTCAGTCCCTAATGGGCAGTAAGCAGCTCCTTGAGTTTATTACAAATTTTGGCAGGTGTGGAAATTTCCAGGTCACCAGGGAATACTTGATTAAATTACTCCTGAAATGCATTAATTGCTCTTTTCCACATTGCTTAGGTAGCTCCAGGGAGACACTGACCAGCTGGCAGAACTTTGCCCTTTAAGGTCTAGTCTCAGATTTGTTTTCTTGAGTATTTTCTTGCTTTTGTTTTTAAGAAGTCTAGGCTAATTTTATCTCCTTTTGCTCTTTACTAATCCTAGTGTCCAATGAAGAATTGAAAAGAAGAGTAGCTGAAGAGCTGGCACTGGAGCAAGCCAAGAAGGAATCTGAAAATCAGAAACGGTGAGTTTCATGGTATGTGAGAGGTTTTGGTGGGCTTGTTATAATTATGAAATATTTTTAGAGAGGAATAATTGTAACAGACTCATTATTTGTGTCTGGCTGAACTTCAGAATGTGCTGAACATATGAACTTGGCCATTTTTGGTTTTGGATTGTACTTGTTAAAATCTTATGTTACCCTTTTCCCAAACTTGGTTGTAAATTACCATGATATCTATTGTGTGGTTCCTTGTTGCACGAATACTGACTGAGCCCTGTGTCCTCAGGATGTGAAAAGTAGTTTTTGAGGATTCTTCAGGAATTCTGCAGGCTACTTTCTTTCATTGAATGTATTTATGATTGAAAATTATATTGTCTGCTGTGGTTACTAAGGTTAGCAATGTTGTTGCTAACAATGAATGCCCTATATTATATGTAGTGCCCGTATTAATAAATAGCACTAATTAATAATATACTCACTTAAAAACTGAAGATAGGTATGGTTGAAAAATCAAAATCTTCTGTTATCCCATTCTACAGAGATAACCAATCTTAGAACATTTTATTCCTATACACTTTTAAATATATACATTATTTTTGTCATTATTAATATTACTACTACTACTAATAATACCAGTTAAAAGAATGTTCATTGAAGTGTTTTCTAAATAATGGAAAACTGCAAGCGGTTCATGTGGCCATCGTAGGGGCTGGATGAGCGAATTCTGGTGCCTGCCCACAGTGGGATGCTAGACAGTCACGTAGGTCCTTATGTGCTGATTCAAAAAGATGTTGAAAAGCTAAAAACTGAAAAAAAAAAACCCCAAAACCACAGCGTTCAAAATAGTGTAGACAATTTTTTGGTAAAAATACCACTTTTTAAAGACTTCACTTATACAGTTATTCATAAAAATGTGTCCATACTTTTTAATCCAAGATAGGTGCTTTTCATCTGTGCTACTTCTGAAATTTCCATGTAGCACAGAACATTATTATTATATGATCATGCAAATGTCTTTCTCCTGTGAGCACTACTCCCGTGCCTGCCGCCAGGGGAAGCCTAGGATATGTTTTTGTTTTGGGCTCTCAACTATTTTGCTAGAGAGAGCTAAGTATAAAGAATCTTTGCATTGGATTCTAGTCTTCAGTGGCCATAGGCCGTTCGGCATGTAACTTAACCTCTTTGGGCCTTAAATATTTCATCTCTATAAAGTGAGAGGTTTGAAACATGTTCTCTAATATTTCCTCTTTTTGGACAAAGTGCTAGGCCAGCTCCAGTTGGCTTGAAACTAATGGAACAGGACATAAACTTCAGGTTAAGATCCCTCTTTTCTCAGGAAATAGAGAAGGTTCATAGCTTAGACTTTTAAAAATTGAGAGGTATTGTAATTAGTACTGGTGAGACAGTCCGTATATATTCTGTAGTTTTCCATGTAGTGCTTTATAATTATTTAATTGGGTTAGGCTGATGGAGTATATAATTAGATAGTGAAGTTTAAATATTCAAAAAAATTCAGACCATTTTTATTAAGAAGCAAAGAAAATTAATATGTTTTGGAAGAATTTCTTGTCTTTTGAATTTTATTATTTTAATTGAATTTTATTTTAATAAGAATTTTTTTCAAGGGTTTTATTTATTTATTTTTAATATAGAGAAAGGAGAAAGGAGGGAGAAAGAGAGGAGAGAAACATTGATGTGCGAGAGGAACATCTTTCTGTTGCCTCCTGTATGTGCCCCACAAACCCACAACCCAGGCACGTGCCCTGACTGGGAATCAAACCGGCAGCCTTTCACTTTGTGGGATGACCCCCAAGCAACTGAGCCACACCGGTCAGCGCTTAATAAGGATGTTTTAGATTAGATACCTGTTTACTTTGCTTACTCTATTTCACATAGAATTTTTTTTTTTTGGTCTTCCTTTCTCTCCATGTGGTACAGGCTTCTTACAATAACTCTTCACCGTGGCTGTCTTTTTTTCCCCTTCCTTCCTTCATTATTCAGCTTCTGCTTGCCCTGCCTTGGTCTATGAGAGGCAAAGGGCAGATGAGATGAATAAAAGGTGTGAGTGGGAGCCAATTTCATATCTCACGCGAACTGGGGTTGGCAGTCTGGCTGTAACCAGGACAAATGACTGTTGATAAAGAATTTATTTTCTGTCACCTTTAAGGAGAGCAGAGGGTGGTACAGCCTTTTTATTATTTTTTTCTTTAAAAAAATGTTTTGTTTGAAGCCTTCTCCATGAAAACTCCCAGCTGTCAAATCTTGGCACAAAGTGTGTGTTCATCTGTGTGATACTTCTGAAAAGAATCAATAACTTTTTTCTGTTTTTTTCTACTAGAGAAGAAATTTTAGAAAAAAAAAATTAAGAAAGTTTTATGCGCAGGCTTTGAAAAGCAACTTTCAGTGTCACAAAGCATTTACACACTTTTGTATCTGTTGCCATAATTGAATAAAGCCTTGTAAGCAGTTTTAGAGAACGGTTCCTTGTGCCGTTGCTTTAACAGTTCTTGTGTCATCTCTACCCCTGCCCACTCTGCCTGTGTGGTGCGTGGTAAGGAGAAGCAGCAACATTCTGAACAGGCCGGGGACCTTTGTGCCAGCGAAATACTCTGAAAAGTCTTCTGTGAGGGTAGCCAAATAAGGACCTCGTTTTCGGTGAGGTTTTTTTGGTTGAATGATTGAAACTTAACTCTGGCGAACTTATCAGGAAGCAAGGCAATTTTTAGAAGCATAGCGGACAGCTCAAAAGAGTCAAAAGGAAGACTAGCGAACCACTAGCTAGGGGAGAATTGGGTATAACTGAAAGTGCTCACAGTGGGAAGAAGTACTTACCCAAAAGAAAGTCAGGAGGAGGGTTCTGTAACAAAAGGGAACGGATGGTGGACAGCTGAGTTTCATGGAATTGAAGGTGCTGTTGATTTCAAGAAGCACTGCATTGGATGTACCACTAAGAAAAAATGTAATGCATTGGTTTATCTCTCAGACTTTTCTTACTGAAAGAGCTCCTTAAGACCGACTTTGATTTTTTAAAAAAGATTTTATTTATTTATTTTTAGAGAGGGAAAGAGAGGGAGAAAGAGAGGGAGACAAACAGTAATATGTGGTTGCCTCTCACATGCCTTTTATGGGGGACTGGGCCCGCAACCCAGGCACGTGCCCTGACTGGGAATTGAACTGGTGACCGTTTGGTTTGCAGGTCAGCGCTCAATCCACTGAGCCATACCAACTAGGGCTGACTTTGATTTTTTAAAAACATATTACTTGCAGGTTTATAAAAAAGAAAATGTAAGAAAAATAAATAGGCTAAGGCAGTGTTCTCCTCTGGGGGAGATTTTGGCCCCAGGAGCCATCTGACAATGTCTGGAGACATTTTTGGCTGTTACTTGTCACGTATTATTGGTATCTGGTGGGTAGAAGCCAGGGATGCTGCCAAACATCTGATAGTATACAGGACAGGTCTCACCGCTGCCCCCTGCTCAGAACAAAGAATTATCTGGCTCTAAATGTCAGTGTGCTGAAAGTGAGAAACCTGGCATTAAGGTGTTCTTAGAAACCTGTTCACATTGGGTCTGTTTCTTCTGAGTCACTTTTTGACTCAGGGTCTTGATGTCCTTGTTTTTCCTCACGTCATACTCTCTTCCATCAAAACCTTGGCGACATAGCACTCCCAAAATGACTGCTCCGCTGTTATCCCTGGGATTTTTCCAGGCTGCTGACACCAGTTTTGCAAATTGCGTTGCTTATGCTCAAGCTCTGACAACTGCGCGGGACTGTCGCCTGGGAGATCCTAATCGGAAGATGCTCTCAGGCATGTGAAAACATGAAAAAATGCGGTCTGAGGGCTGTATTTGCTTCATACAGCCATGTGGGATTGGAAATGACTTCTTGCGTGTCTTTCCTTACCTCCCACTTAATGCAGAAGCCCTTTTCCAGCGTCTCTGACTGGTAGTGCCACACGCATTGAGATCCCATTCAGAAATCATTGAAATGGAAGATATTTCATTAGGCCATTGGAAATTTACCTGAGCGCCTTTCAATCTCCACTCTTAAATCTAATATGCAGACACGGCATAATTAAAAGTTGCTTTAAAGGAGTTTTCTGCTGGCTCACAGTGATGATGCAGCTAATTGTAAGCACTAAGCCTGTATGTGTTATATTCTCATTTCTAAAAACCATTTATACGTGAAATTTCAATTTATCTTAGATCTGATTCTGTTTTATGAGACTCTTGAGTGATCTGCTTAGTTAACAAAGTCATGCCCCAAAATATTACTGACACAATATTAGTACATGCATTAAATGTTGGATCTAATTTGGAATCATAGTGTTGCTTATCACAGCATCTAATGGATGGAATAGTTGTTTGGTGTGTTGGGAGTCAAGAGTAAATTAAATGCTCATGTCAGCAGTCTGTTTTTGCTGTGATACTCTATCATGCGTTTTGGATTATAGCTGACCATATTGTGTTGTAACTATAGCAGGCCAATATAGCAAGGACATAAAATACCACCGTTTGAGCGTAGACTTTTAAAATGTGATTTACTTCTCTCCTGTGCCTTACCTCCAAAGTCAGTCTCTGACAGCAAGAAAAATGTGATTATTTCTGACCTCTGACCTTTGACATTTGAATTTCACCTCTTTACCTTTAAAGGCAAGCAAAAGTATTTCAGTTTTAATAACCTTTCTTCAAGAAACCAAGAAGAGGAATACCTGCTGGATGTTGTAACCAGCTATACATCAACTAAGATTACTTGCTTGCTGTTTTTAATGGACATCTGATGTGATTCCCCACTTTAAATTATGTGGAAAATTACATTAGATTTGTGAGACTTAAAATAATTTGATTTAATAAGCGGTTTTTAAAATTAGTCATACATTTTATCAGCTATCTGGGTAAGTTAAAATGTAGTAGAGTCCATTTATTTTTTTCACTTACATCATCAAATAAAGGCCTAAACTTTTGGCTTTTGGGTACATTTTAGTTTCTTGTAGTAAAGGTGAAATTTTTAGGGGTGGTACC